CTTCCCCCCTACCCCCACCCCCTCCTTAAAAAAAATAAATTTGGGGGCCTCAGACACAAGCCTTACTTGCGATATTGTATTTTCCTAAGAGATTTTTTATCTATCTGTACTGCATGAGAAACTTATTTACCCTCATTGTTTATGTTTAAATTTAATTACAAGTTGATATACAATTTACTAGTTATATACAAATAAGTTTTAAATGACTATCCTTAATTGTATTATTTTAATACGGAAATCAAATTTCACATGTCTACTGCTTCCATAGATCTCTCTCCTCTCTCTCTCTCTCTTTTTTTTTGCCTGACTTCTTCTTCTTTGGATCCCTACGATTCTCTTATCTTTTCTTATCTCCCTTTTCTTTCTTTTTCCCCCCAGAGAATTCAATAATATATTTGATGCACTTGCTTATCACAATCGACCCAGTCGTTGTCTGTTGCCCCGCTGACCATTGAAAGCCATCAAAAGCTTTGAAACTTTGATTTTGAATTCGATTTTTTTTAAATTATTGTTTATTTTGATTGGATGTTTTGCAAACGATCAAGAATATTTTTTGGAGTTGATATCTCAATTTTGAGGGTATTTGGTAAGATTAGAGCTTATTTTGGATGAATTTTCAGATTCGAAACTTTGATTTTGAATTCGATTTTTTTTTAAATTATTATTTATTTTGATTGAGTGTTGTTGCAAATGATCGGGAATATTCTTGCAGTTTATATCTCATTTGAGGGTGTTTGGTGAATATTAGAGTTGATTATGGATGAATTTTCAGATTAACACTAGAAGATGAAGATGATGTATTAAAGTTGTATTATTATTATTATATGTAAATTGTATTTAAGTTATGCTCCGTTGTAATTATAATTTTTTTATTTGAATGTTGTATGAAAGTAAAAAAAAAGTGGTTGTATAAAATTTGTATTTAAGTTATAAATACTTTCTTTTTACATAAAGTTGTTGATATGTATCAAAATTGTATCAAGAGAGAACGTTGTGAAATTTCAGAGAAGAAGAAAGAACACACAACATACAAAATATATACAAAAAATATATTTATATAAAATTTGTATAAAAAATATATTTAAGTTTATGATGTTGTAGTTGTTTATCTAGGTAAAACTAATGTATGAAAGCTGAAGATAAATTATAAATAAGTTGTATACTACATAATTAGTTGTATAAAATTTATTTTAATTTATATATTGTTGTGGATATATCAAATTTGTATTGAGAAGAGTATTGATGCCATGCCTATGGTATAAGATTATAATGCATCTTGACATTTGAAATGTCATAAATTTTTGTCATTTAAGGAAGAATAATATTTTTGATTAGTCCACTTATCAAGCACCAAAGAATTATCTGAACTATTTTATCCAGTTCATCAATACAAATTAACTCTTACGTGCAATCCGATGAAGCACTACAGAACAAGTTCCTAAGGAAAAAGGAAAAGAGTGTGATTGAATCCCATAACTTGCACTAATAATGGATTGTATACGAAGAGAAAGAGAAAAAAGAAAAATGATGTAATTGTATCTGTAGTTTAAGGCAGTAATAATAGATTGTAAGAAATTTTATTTAGGACAGGTAGTATACAAAATTGAGACAGTTTTAGTGGGCGTTTGGACATAAGAATTGTAAAATTCTAATGAAATTATTTTTCAAGTGAAAATGATATTAATTTAGAGTTGTGTTTGGACATGAATATAATTTTGGGTTATTTTTGAAGTTTTGTGAGCGAAAATTTTGAAAAATAGGTTTTTGTAATTTTTAAAATTTTTGAAAATTTCCTAAATACATCTTTAACGAAAATTGAAATTTTTATAAACAAACCTCGTTTTGGAACAAAGTGAACATTTTTTGGGAAAAAGAAAAAATTTATATTTTCAAACGGGCTCTTATTAAATAAGTTTTAAATGTTGTATATGAATGAAAAATCCCTTTCCCTAATATTGAGAAGCCGAAGGAGCCGAATTCGGACAAGCAAATACAAATTCTAGCAGATACCACACTCTGACGTAAACCTCTCCGCAGGTCCGAGCGTATTTCCTTTCCTGATTCTTCCTCTATGATTGCTTTGTCGTCCGATTCGAATTTTATTTTCTTCTTGTTCAGCTATCATAAATCCACAGGTGTATTGTGATTAGTTCTTTGTATACGATTATAGTATTGTATCAAAGAAAAAAAGAAGAAGTGATGGCGTGGAGGCTGAGCAGGGGTGATATAGCCGGATTCAGAATACTGTTTAGTTTGGGGATATTGTACGGATTGATATCGGTGCTGGTATACTCCATCATTCACATGAAGTTCATCACACCACTTGGGATGGAGGCTCCTCTTGATCGCTTCTCTGAGGGCAGAGCTGTTGAGCATGTTCGCGTCTTGTCTAAAGATATCGGAGGTCGCCAGGTATACTGTATTTGCACTGTGCAGCCCTAATCAGTATTCAATTGCTTTGTTGTTGCTGCTGAGAATGCATGGAGTAGGGGGAGATGAAATTATATTCCTCAATCCTTGTCTGCTTAATTAATGCGATAGTCATGAGATATTAACATGAAACAAATGCAACACATGTTCAGTTGAAAAAAGCTTTTCTTTGTGAACACTATTTTTGGAAAAAAAGTTTGTGGAACTTGAGATGAGTTTGGATAGTTGCAGCTTTTTTTTTTAAAAAAAAAAAAAATCTAAGATTTATGAGTGTTTTGTGGGTGGAAGAACAAAAAAATTCTTTGGAAACTACCCTCAAACCACAACTTAAAAAAATAGTTTTTGCGTGAAAATAGGTTCAAAAAATTTGAGCAAACACCGGATTGAATTTTCTAATGAAAATTTTGAGGAAAAAAGGTTTCATGGACAATAACTTTTTGTGGCATTCTGTTGTTTACGACTGGGTTTTGTGAGGTGTGAATGTGTAATGAAGGGATGTTGTCCTATACGAAATAAAGAGAAGAATGTTGTTGGGCTTATATTGAAAAACACTTCTACACTCGCTTAAAAGGTTGGGAAGAAGGCAAGCCCTCACGTCGTCGCTCGGCTCAGCTTTTGATTTGGCTTCGCATTAGGATTTGGTCAAATGATCTGATTGATAGATTAATTTTTAGATTAATAAATTCTGTTTATTTTTTATTTCAGTGTGTGTTTGGTATGAAGTAAAACATTTTCCGGAAAATGTATTCCAATTTACCATGTTTGGTTGGCAAAAATGTTTTCCGTACCAAGAGGACCGTACCAAGAGGAGGGAAAACATTTTCCAAAACTCTTATTCAACCTTCTCCGTCCTATTTTCCATGTCCACCAACCCCCACAACCTACCCTACCCCCAAACCTTCCCAACCCCTATCCCTTCCCCCGACCACACCCCACGCACCCCAACCTCGTCCACTACCCACCCTAAATAGAACTATTATTAAGAGTACTTTTTTTTAAGACTTTCTTTTCATGGTGTAGATAGAGTTTTTTTTCCAACAAAATGAGTATATTCTTTTCATGATATAGTAAACGTATTTTCTTTCATTTCAACATAACGAGTACTTTTTTTGATGATGTGGAAAAAAGTATTTTCTTTCATTTCAACAAAACGAGTAATTTCTTTTCATTATGTAGAAAAGTATTTTCTTTTCCTAGAATAGAAAAAGTATTTTTTTCTAAAAAATGAGTACTTTCTTTTAATAATGTAGAAAAAATACTTTCTTTCATTTCAACGAAACGAGTACTTTCTTTTTATGATATAGAAAAAATATTTTCTTTCAATTTAACAAACTAAGTATTTTCATTTCCTGGAATAGAAAAAGTATTTTGTTTCAAAAAATAAGTACTTTCTTTTCATGATGTAGAAAAAAGTAATTTCTTTCACTTTAACAAAACGAGTAAATTCCTTTCATGATGTAGAAAAAGTAATTTCTTTCATTTCAACAAACTAAATATTTTCTTTTTCTGAAATAGAAAAAGTATTTTTTTCCCAACAAAGCGAGTATTTTTCTTTTCATGATATAGAAAACGTATTTTCTTTTATTTCAACAAAAAAATATTTTCTTTTCATGATGTATAAAAAGTATTTTCTTTCATTTCAACAAACTAAGTATTTTCTGTCGTGATACAAAATGAGTACTTTCTTTTGATGATGTAGAAAAATATTACAAAATGGGTATTTTCTTTTCATTATGTAGAAAAATTATTTTCTTTCACTCAACAAAATGAGTAATTTCTTTTCATATTGTAGAAAAGATACTTTCTTTTTCAACAAAATAAAGTATTTTCTTTTTAGTTATCGAGCTCAAATTTTAACGTTGTTCTTGTGTGAAAAAGTAAAGTAGCACATTAGTTCCTTTGGGTTTGTCTGAATTTTGAAAAGAATAATTAAATTCTTGAAGAAAATAGAGTCCGGAGGAGTGGGGAAAGAGTACAGGAAACATGAGGATTTTGGTGAAAGTGGGTTGAGGAGAGTAGCATAAAAAATTATTTTCGTAAAAATATTTTATGCTATCTAACCAAACACTAGAAAATATTTTCTGGAAAAAGTTTTCCACTCATTAACCAAACAAGAGAAAATAAGTGCTAAAACCACTCATTTTTCAGGAAAATATTTTCCAGGGAAAACATTTTCCAGTGTACCAAACACACCCTTAGTTTGTGACTTTTTCCATAAAAGTTAATTGGTTTTCCCGAAAAGGCACATGATTTTTCTGAAAAGACACCAAAAAAGGTTGCATTTGAAGTCCACCTTTTCACTTTGCATCCTTTTGTTTGCTATAAATACCGAGGCTGGCCTCATATTTCACTCACTAATTTTTGAAACTTCTACATTATTTTCCAAACACAGCATAAAGAGTGTGTGATTTGTTCCGGTCTTTGCGTTCGTAGTTTGTTGTAGTTTGAAGAATGGCTACTCTAACAAAGGTATATCCGTTGAATCCTGGGAGGAAATAATCCATCACCTCGGATACTGTGACGGGATTAAATTCCTTAAGGATACACAAGGAATTCTATAGGCTCAGAACAATTATTTCAAGTTTATGTTTATTCGTTTTTCCAGTTTATTTCGTTTATTCTAGTTTCTTTTCGAACATAGTAGTTAACAATGGCTAATGCTATATATTCTTGTTATTTTCTTGCTTTAGAATTTGAACTAGACGCTTGCATAGATTTGGGTTATCCTTTATTCTCTTTCTTTGTCTTCTTTAAGATATAATGCGTGCAGGTAAACTTTTTATGTATAGGAAGGGCGTCAAGGTTTGAAACAAGCAGCTCAATATATTAAGACGCAGTTGGAAATGATGAAGGAGCGAGCTCAGCCTGGTATTAGGTCGGTCTTACTGGGAAACTCCTTTTAACTTGTTGAAGTCATCTTCAGGTAATTCCTAATTGTTGAACTAACAATTTGAGATTCTTATTCTTGCAGAATAGAGATAGAGGAGACCATTGTTAATGGCTCCTTCAACATGATCTTTTTACGGCATGGCATTTCCCTGGCTTATAGAAATCATATAAATATTATTATGAGGTAAACCTCCATGAATGTGACATACAATCTTATATATTTGTACATTTCATTATCCACCAATACTTTTGTTGGTTTTTTTTCCTTTCTCTTTTCTTTTGTCTAATTTCTTAAAGCATAAAGATAAGTGAGTGTTAGTACCTAATTCTTTCCCTCATTTCATCAATTAAAGGATTTTCTTTTTGGTGGAGCTCATCTATAGGAGTCATGGATCTTTTGCTTTCGAAAGAAGTACCTTTCACTTGTTCCAATTATGAAAAGCCTGAAGAAGTTACAGACATCTTTTGGAAAGTAGTTGACAAATTGTTATTGATATTCGATTGTAACCTCTTATACCTAATAGAAGGGGATTTTAAGTTTTAATTCAAACCTGCAACACCTTAAATATGTTTAATAGATGAAACTGAAAGTAACAAAATCAATTTCAGAATCTCATCAGTAGATTCAGGAGAAAATGATACTGCAGTTTTGGTCAATGGCCATTTCGATACTCCACCTGGTTCTCCAGGAGCTGGTGATTGTGGTTCATGTGTTGGTATGTATATCTTATTTTCGATCTATGCTTTCCGGCTGTTTTCATAGTTGGTCATATCTATTTTGAATCTTAAACAGCATCGATGCTCGAGCTAGCAAGACTCTCTATAGATTCTGGCTGGATTCCACCTAGACCAGTTATATTTCTGTTTAATGGAGCTGAAGAACTGTTTATGCTGGTAAGATCTCCGTTATTAAGATTAATGGACTTAAAGAATCATGAACTATGCTTTTGTATTGTAGTTCTTGGAAGTAGGTGCTACTTTTCCATTTCGTCCCATTTTCCTAATGCATGATTCTTAGAAAATTATGTGATTCGGCAGTATTTCAACTATCCTTGAGTTTGTTCTCTCCAATCTCTGTCCTTTGTACTCTTTAGTCTTCTGAACTGTGAAAGATGCGATGAATATACATTCTCAGAGACACAGATTTGTATTCTTAAATAGTTTCTCTGAAGTATCTGGAATGCTTTTTTGGTACTATTCATTTCATACTTTTAAAGCATATGTTTAATATGAGATGTTCCTTATTGTTATATGGACAGGGTGCTAAATATGATGATTGCATGATGTTGATGCTAGGTTCTTTTGTCAATTTTGAGAGTCATATTAGATATGAGAGTTATATTTCTCCTGTGATTGATAAAGGGCTTTCCAAGTTCTACTAGTGCAACCCCATCTTTACCTCTGAGATATAAGGTTTTTCATAGAGCTTATGATAGGCCCTCTGGTTATGTTTAATGTCTCATGATCAAAATTCAAAAGTTCTAAAATTTAGAGAATGATAAGGTTCTGCCTCCTTCAATTTTTTAATTCTTCCTTCTGTTCCTTGATAAATGTGATCTTATTTGCACATCTTCTCTGATCAGTAGGACCAGATTTACAATCTTGGATTGTAGTTCAAGTAAACACTCACATGCATTTGATCATACTGTAAACACATTTTGTCTTTAGTTACTAATGTCTCATGGCTGCTTGGATTTTTGATATCTGAAGTTGTGCGAATCACTTCCACGAGATCAAGGAGTTGTGCTATCTCAATTATCATTGTTGGTGTTCAGAATGCTTCATGTAGATCAGTAGATGATTTGAAATATAAGCAAGTTAAACATAAGAGTTTGCTGATGAGTTTTTCAGGGTTCACACGGTTTCATAACTACACATAGATGGAACGAGACGGTTGGAGCATTTATAGATATTGAAGCATCTGGGACCGGAGGCTTTGGTAGGTGCCTGCATTCATACTATTGTGGCATGTTTATTACTTGCTTCCTGCTATTACAATCTTGTAAAGAGGGATAAATGAAAGCATAGGGATAAATATAAAGCATTATTTTTTTTTGTTGCCCAATGCTAAAGTAATTGATTGGTAAGGGAGAAGGATTGGTCTGGAATCATTTTATGGAGAATATTTTGTCATGACCCAAATTACCCATGCTGTGATTGGCACCCAACACCCCCATGTTGAGCGAACCATGAACATTTACCAGATATAAATTATAATATGGACAGTAATATAATAATCAGAATCTAATAAATCTGATACAACACATAAATCAACATAATACAGGACTGGGTTCCAACTAAGTCATGAGCCTGTAGAAGTAGAAAAGTACATCAACAGTTTGAATACAAACTACATAAAGATAAAAGAGAAGCCAAGCCACTGCAAACCCGGCAAGAAGCAAGAAGCTCACCACTGATACTGATATAAATGCTGGAATCTCAATCACGGGTCCCTCTAGTACTTGGATCCGAATATGCATATAGATTGCAGGGAAAAGAGGGCGAGTAATCATTGACCGCCTCCCACGAAGCATTGGCAAGAGTCAATTAAGAAAGTAGTCATTAAAACATAACTCGAGCCAGTATTATATTTGTGAGAATGCACGGGAGAAAAATCTTAGTATTGATATTTTATGTTAAATGAGCCCTATTCACAAACTTTGTAGCAATATCTCTCGAGAGTATCTTTTCTCTAACAAAGTGACAATCAATCTCAATATGTTTAGTTCTTTCATGGAACACTGGATTTGACGCAATATGAAGAGCAACTTGATTATCACACACAAGTCCCAGGCCGATCTCTCCAAATTTCAACTCCTTGAGCAACTGTTTGATCCAGATTAGCTCACATGTCGCCATAGCCATTGCTCGATATTCTGCTTTCGCACTAGACCGAGCAACCACATTCTGTTTCTTGCTCTTCGAGGACACCAAATTTCCTCCTACTAAGACACAATATCCAGACATAGAACATCTATCAGAAGGTGATCCTGCCTAATCAGCATCTGAGTATCCAATGATCTGCTCATGGCCTCGATCCTCAAATAATAAACCTTTGCCTAAAGCTGATTTTATATACCGAAGAATGCGGACAATTGTATCCCAATGACTATTACAGGGAGAATCGATAAACTGACTCACAACACTCACAAGAAAGGAAATGTTAGGTCTAGTCACTGTGAGGTAATTTAATTTACCAATCAGCTGCCTATATCTTGCAGGATCACTAAGAGGCTCCCCTGCCCTGGTAGAAGTTTAGAATTCGGATCCATTGGAGTGTCAATAGGTCTACAACTCATCATTTTTGTCTCCTCAAGAATATCTAAGGCATACTTCCGTTGTGAGATCACAATACCTGAGCTAGACTGAGCTACCTCAATACCCAGAAAGTACTTTAATCTGCCCAGATCCTTAGTCTGAAAGTGCTGAAAGAGACGTTGCTTCAACTTACTAATACCATCCTGATCATTGTCGGTAATAACAATATCATCAACATAAACGACCAGATAAATACAAAGATTTGAAGTAGAATGCCGATAAAACATAGAGTGATCAACTTAACTACGAGTCATGCCAAACTCCTGAATAACTGTGCCGAACTTACTGAACCAGGCTCGAGGAGATTGCTTTAGACCATAGAGGGACCGGCGCAACCGACATACAAGGCCATTAGACTCCCCCTGAGCAACAAAACCAAGAGGTTGCTCCATATAAACATCATCCTCAAGGTCACCGTGAAGAAAATTATTCTTAATGTCCAACTGATAGAGAGGCCAATGGCGAACAACAACCATGGATAGGAAAAGGCGAACTAATGCTATTTTAGCCACGGGAGAGAAAGTATCACTGTAATCTAGCCCAAATATCTGAGTATACCCTTTAGCAATAAGACGAGCCTTAAGTTGATCAACCTGGCCATCTGGACCAACTTTGACTGCATACACCCAACGACAACCAACAGTCGATTTACCTGAAGGAAGAGGAACAAGCTCCCAAGTACCACTCGTATGTAAAGCAGACATCTCGTCAATCATAGCTTGAACTGGACAAGTCCGCAATATTAGCAGGGTCAGGTGTAGGACGTGAATCAGCTGAGCCTGATACTGGGCGCGGACGACGATAATAAGTCAGGAGTGGTGGAGCTGTAGAAGGTTGAACTGGACTAGGTGGTGGAACTGGAGCTATAAGTGGTGGAACTGGAGCTATAGGTGGTGGAGCTGCAACTGGAACTATAGAGGAAGATGAATGGGAGATAGTGATTGAATCTCCAAAAGACGGAACTGGTAGCCTCTCAGAAATATCTAAGTTATTACTTGGACCTGTGAAGAATGATTGGGTTTCAAAGAAGGTAATATCAGCAGACATAAGATACCACCGGAGGTCAGGAGAATAGCATCGATATCCCTTTTGCGTTCTCGAGTAACCCAGAAATACGCACTTAAGAGCACGAGGAGCTAACTTATCTTTTCCTGAAGTAAGGTTATGAACAAAACATGTGCTCCCAAAGACACAGGGTGGAAGAGAACAAAGGTAAGTGGGGAAACAGGATAGAGATTGGAACTTGATTTTGGATAGCTGAAGATGGCATACGATTAATAAGATAGCAAGCTGTAAGAACTGCATCCCCCCAAAATGCAACGGAACATGAGGGTGGAAAAGTGAGATAAGCCATGTACCATTTTCTGAAGTTTTGACAAACTGGGATGTCCCAACCATTTATGTAATAAATCTGGTGGATCAGTAACAGGACAAGTTGTTGAAGAAAGACAGATGTGAGTCCATGTGATTTTGTAAAGATAAGGTAATAAAGTCTATCTGATTCACGTCCGGTACCAATGATCCGCCCCGTACTGCGTTCCTGTATAAAAACAAGGTCATCAATAAATAAAACAGCACATTTAAGTGATTTGGCTAAGCGACTAACGGCTATGAGATTAAAAGGACTACCGGGAACATAAAAAACTGAATCTAAAGGTAAGGAAGGAAGTGGACTTGTGTGACCTATTGCTAGGGATGTTCGTCGGTCGGTACGGTATTTAGAGATTTCGGTTCGGTATTTTCGGTATTTGGTTTCTTAAAATCCTATACCAATACCGTACCTAATTAAATTCGGTATTATTCGATTTTTCTCCTTTCGGTTTCGCTTTATTCGATTCGGTAACTTCGGTTTATTCGGTTCGGTAACTTCGGTTTATTTGGTTTGAATACTAACTAGTGCATAGAGACATAAAATCTAATATTCTTAATTAAAGTACTCAAAAATACAAAACTGGAAATGTTTGTTGACAAAACTTTTGTCCAAAACTAGCAAATATCGACCCAAATAGAGAAAATTGTACATAAAAGGACATTTGATCATTAGAAATGTCTTGTTACTTGTTTAGAGTTAATTGATGAACTTAGAGAATAAAGGAAAGTAAAATTTTAGATTTTTATATTTATGTTATAATTGATAATATGTGTTTTGTGTAATATAATATATATTTCGGTATGATATCGGTATTTCGGTATTTTATTTTAAAATACCAAATACCATACCTAATACCAATTTTTTTAAAAACTTAAACCAAATACCATACCAAATACCAAAATACCGTATACCAAATACCAAAATTTTCGGTTTCGATACGGTAATTCGGTATTTACCAAATTATGCACAATCCTACCTATTGCAGTTGCCAGGGTTTGAGACCCATTGACCATTGTGACTGTTGGAAGTGATTGGGAATATGAAATACTACTCAAAAGAGATTTGTTACCAAAAATATGATCAGATGCACCTGAATCAATGACCCAAGAGTCGGAAGAAGAAGACGATTGAGAGACACAATTCATGCTATTACCTGTTTGAGCTATAGAAGCTATCTCAGAAGGTATCTGCTTACGTGCTTTATACTGAAGGAACTCGATATAATCTGATAAAGACATCATATGAACATTCGAAGTATATGATCCAACAGTGTTTGAGCCAAAAGCATCAGATCTGAGTGACATTATAATGAACTTAAGAGAGACCAAATATCTGATGAAGATTACCAATAGTGATGAGATACCCTCAAATCAAGCAATTAGAAATTGGAACCAAACTATTATAATGAACGGACATTGTTCTGATCACCAAACTAGAGTAAGTTGGTATGATATTATTAGTCGAGCTTGAGTGCTAAAAAATTTATGTTGAAGGCCTTTTGTTGACAGATGCAACTGCTCTGACTTCTCAGATTTTCGTCGGAAGCAAATTGAAGTCAACAAAATGGTGGAAATTAAATGATTGAGGTCGGAATCAACAGGCAACCTTAGTATGTGAACAAGGTGGCAGGAAAAGTGACCTAAACAGTGATAGACCATTGCTTTTGCCGGAAAAACCACAGCTCTTGTCGGAAAACACTTTTCCGGCAGCCAAGAAACCACAAAAATCTCGATGGGTCGAGTCGGAAGAGGCGTGCGACCAACCCAGTAGAAAAATCAGGCCCAGTAGAAAAATCAGACTTGAAAAATGTCGGAAAAATACCTCACGTGCCGGCACTCTCGCCGGAACCCTAACTGCCGGAGGCGCGTGACGGCGCGTGTGAAGTTTTCTGCCAGAGAACTTCATTGGGGTTTGGTCTCCGGTGACAGGAAAACCTTGTGTGGTGTTGGAATTTGCACAAACCCTACTGAAACTCAGATTGACGTAAACAACAGCTTAAGTCACCGGAAATTGCATGGTGACGATTGATTTCTTCCCGGATATCGTTGGAATGACACACAACGATAATTATCTCACCAATGCTCTGATACCGTCTGAGAATGCACGGGGGAAAAATCTTATTATTGATATTCTATGTTACAATGAACCCTATTTATATGTATACATAACACATAACCTACTCCTATTACATAAGGGACTATGCCTAATTACATATATTCACATAACTATTCTAACAATATTCAACCGTAATAGGCACATAACTCATAAGAACAATATGCATAAGTCCAGCATTTATCAAAATGCACAATAAAAGTGGCATATTTTTTATGCATGATAAAAATTCTAATTTTACTCAAAATCGACATGTTTAATCACTCAAACCTACGCGCACACCGTCTGTGGTTCATGAGTTCATCGAGACTAGTGACTCATGAGGGAGGATATAATACACATGCGATAACCATAATGTGAGTCCACATGGCCAAAACTAATATCTCAATAGCAGATACGAGTTCACATACCCATAACACATTCCCACCTATCCAATGTGAATCACATATGCAAATCAATATGCATACAGGCATGACAAAACAGTCCAAACCATTTAAATCAACATTCATGAACTCTATAATGTTATACTAGCATATAACAAATGCATATAAAATTATACTAGCATATATAACATGCATATTAATCATATCACAAATACAACAAGTCGTGCACAACAAAGTAACAAAAATATTTCCCATATATTTCCCATATATTTACTGCTCTTGGCAATGTGAATGATGATGATGGGAAGTTGACTGGAGAGAATTTACAGCTGGTTGAGAGTTATAAGGACCAGAAATTGGATCAAAATAGCTCATCGACTCCAGCGGCATTTAATAAAGCTCTTGTTACTATGAATCAGAATGAAGGTAAGACTACTGATCCAAATATGCAACTGCTGGCCCATGATCAAAATGAAAGGAAGGTAACTCCTACGATACATTTCTCCAGTCCACATGTAGAG